TGTCCCTGGCTTTGGCTAATGGCTGTGCTCCGCTGGAACGAATCGGGGCTTGGATTCAATGCAGAAATGGGAGAGATCTGCAGCTGCGAGGGGAGCTTGCTTTTTGGAGTGCCTTGTATTTTGTGCCCTTATTTTCTCCTGCCTGACAAAGCCAAGCGGCCATGGGAGGCGGCACGGCGTGCCGGCAGGCGCAGGCAGCTGGGATTTGCTCAATGTTTTAGCTGTACAGAGCACAACACGCGGTCACCCAGCAAAGCTCCGGCCGGCTCCGCTGCCGAGACCTGCGGGCAGAGGTCTGTGCCCGCTGCAGTAACCGCAGCCTCTCCCGCGGGCTCCCCGGTGCTGGCGCAGCCCTGCTGCCTGTGGTCCCCGCTAACCAGGGCCGTGTGCTCGGCCTGTCCCGCGGCCAGGGAGGCAGGCGGGGAGCCGGGCCGGGTGCGCGGTGCCAGATGAGATTTGGTCTGTTTTTTCCCCAGGTGCGGGTGCCCCGGCGGGTCAGGGCTTCCAGCTGCATCAGCCCCAGGACAAGGTGTCGGTGGCAGCGGGGCGGACGCTCAGCCTGACCTGCACCGTGTCTGGAGATGGTCCCCCTGGTCCTGTGGGGTGGCTGAAGGGCTGGGGCAGTGGGAGCCAGACCGTCTATGACCAGACGGGCTCCTTCCCCCGCGTGACGAGGGTAGTGGCTGAGTCCAACACGGACTTCAGCATCCGCATCAGGGACGTTGGCCCTGAGGATTCCGGCACCTATTACTGCGTGAGGTTCCGCAAATCGGTGGATGATGTGGATGAGGTGTTTCAGCGTGGAAGGGGCACGGAGGTGTCCGTACAAGGTGAGTGGGGCCCCCGGAGCAGCTCCCGGTGGGAACCAGCCCAGCCGGGCACAGCCCCCGGCACAGCCTGGCCCATCGCGGCCCGGTGGGCTCTGCTCGGGGCGAGCGGGGATGGGGAAGGGGCTCGGGGGGCAGCTCCAGGAGAGGGAGGCTCCTGTGGGCCGTCCCCGGGTGCATCCGTGCCCCCACGGGAGACCCCGCTCCCTGCAGCCCCGGGGCCGGGCAGGGTGGTAGAGCCGGCTCTGACGGCCCCACACTCTTCCCCGCAGCCAAACCCACTCCCCCGGTCATGTCCTGGTCCGGCCGCAGAGTGGTGCCGGGGCAGTCGGTGTCTGTCACCTGCGAAGCTGGAGGGTTCTTCCCCAAAGACATCACGGTGAAATGGCTCAAGGACGGGGCCCCGATCACGGCTCAGCAGCCCCAGATCACCCCATGGCCGACGAAATCCTCCTTCAACATGTCCAGCACCGTGACGGTGACGCTGCAGGAGGACGATGTCCGCTCGCGGCTCACCTGCGAGATAGAGCACCCCACGCTGCCGGCCCCGGTGACGGGGACGTACCAGCTCAGCGAAGCCCTGCGAGGTGAGGGCCGGGTGGGGGCCGGCGCTCGGGGCGCCCAGCTCCCGTGGGGCTGGGGGTCCTGGGGCAGGGACAGGGCGCCCCGCGGGCGGCAGAGCCGGGGGACGCCGGGCACCAGGAGCTGCTTTTCTTCCCAGTCCCCCCCCGTGTCAGCGTGGCCCCTGACGCACCGAGCCCCGTTAAGGTGAACAAGACCGTGAACTTCACCTGCCACGTGAAGGGGTTTTACCCGGGAGACGTGGCCGTCACCTGGCTGGAGAACGGGACGGAGATGAAGGTGGAGAACATCCCCCAGCCGGAGGAGAACCAGCGGGGCTTGTTCGATCTGAGCAGCCTGGTGGAGGTCAAAGCGACGGAGGAGAAGAACGGGTCCGAGTTCACCTGCCGAGTGGTGCACGATGCCCAGGAGCCCATCAGCAAGACGGCTGCCCTGTGGATCGCTGCCCCAGCCAGGGAGGGAGAACTCGGCGACTTGTCCCAGACAGGCAACGGTGCGTGAGAGCCGCTGGGTCCCGGCAGTGGCGGGGGCTGTGGGATGCCTGTCCTCGCGTCCCGGCCCCTCACGTCCCCTCTCCCCACCACAGGTCTAAACGTGTCCAACACCATCTTGTGGCTTAGGCACCCGCTCGAGAAGGGGCGCCTTCGCGGGCACATCCTACCCTCTTGACG